TTGAAAAACAAAAAAAAAAAAAAGTAACAACAAAAAACATGGTGGAATGTTGCCAAATTAAAAAGCGCATCGATATGGAAACTTAAAGATGACACAGTGTGTGTTTGTGCCATTCGCACATCAGTGGCAATTTGTTTTGCACAAGTACGTGCTGTCAAATAAAATTAATTCCACATCGGCGTTCGGTCGTCTTCCCACCGCCGCCACCGCCAAACAATGGCAACACCAATAGCGATTCAACTGCCACAGTTCTGCACACCACACACCACTTTTGCCCGCGGTCTTCCTTCTACCAAGCTTTAAACCAGCCCGCAGTGCTGCCGCGCGACCCACTTTGCAGCAAGACTCTTGACAATACTGCAGCTCAGACGCAACTCGTCGCCAAGTCAACTACAACAACAATACAACGAAGCGCAACAACAACAACAAGCAGCGTAGCAACAACAACAGCTGCAGTGAGTCGAGCTAGCCAGCCTATCAGTCTCTTACTTAGTTGGCTGACTGGCTCGCTGGTTGCCGCGTCGCCGCGCCGTCGCGCACTTCTGACCAAACAACTTGGCTCGCTCACATGTCAGCGCCGAGCGTTGGAGAGGGGCGCGCGCTGAGGTAAGCCGGTAAAATGTCACAGCATGATGGCAGATTCAGTTTACTGACTTTGAAAGGTGTTGGAAGTTGCACAATAAATAAATAAATTATAAAACTTAAGCATAAAGGGCGAATGCAGTGTAGACTATAATAGACACACAAGCATACATAATTATACAAATATATGCGTGTGTGAGTTTGTGTGCGTTTTAATGCGAACAAGTACGCGCAAACATTGCTTGCAGTTGGCACACACACGGGTTTAGAGTTACCATTTGCCATATTCTAGGAAAGTGAAAAGACTTGCGGACGGACGGACGGACTTGGTGCGTTTAGTTCGTTCGGACCGCTTTTGCTGTTGCTTTGCGTTCTCGTGCTTCTTGGCGATTCGTCGTTGGTGCCAATGTGGTTAACTAAGTTGGCTTGCTTGGTTTTGTTTTTGTTTTTGTTGTTGTTACTTTTTGGGTGACTTCATTGCATAACAAAATTATTTTGCAATAAAATGCGCATTAGAATGAAATCATGAAAATTGACACTTGCTCAGAGCGATTCGGGTAAAGTCGAAATTAACATATGGCAAAATGCCGATCATCGCTAATTTCTGTGGGATTTCACATCCCACTGGCCTTCATAGTTGTTTAGTGGCTTAAGCGCTCGACAATTATAAGGAATTAGAATGGTACGATGGGTTGGCTCAATCTCGATCTCTGAGCGGTTGAAGAATCATCAGTCTACTCGAGGCGGTTTGAAACTATATGTTTGTTATTGCTGTAGTGATATATGAAAAATGTGTTGTGTATTGCAGGGTCGACAATCAATACTGTTTACAATTATCTTCGGAATAGCTCCGAGACCACATCACTTGTATATCATCAAAACTGCTCTTATTGAAGATTTAGTAAAAAGAAATCCATTGTTTTTGCACTTTATTGAAGGTTTTATATTGCAAATTATTCGATTTAGTTGATCGTTCGAAAATTTGAAGTTAATTTCATACTGCTACGCTCATAGAAACCCTAGTTGCTATTGGCAAAAAACTGGGACAGTCGATTTCTACAAGCTTCTCTTGAATCAAATTTTGTCACCAGAATAATCTTTCGCGTTTTTGAAATGAATCGAGTATATCGTGATTCAGCAGATATTCGCAGTTCGAAATTCGGTCTGTGAGGTTTTTTGTATAAGCTCGAGTGGCACCCATACATCGAGCTTCTTTTTATATTCAGTCTTATTTAAATTATACCAAACGGTTTTTTTTTATAATGTTTAGCTCCTAGGAAATCAAAACAGTGCTCACGTGATGGTCGGAATCGACGACATCTATTATTTTTTCAATATTTTCGATAACAGGCCATTCATTGACATCAAAATTCGAGGAACGAAATCAATGAAACTATAAGTGCATATGGTTGACTTCTGCAGTATTGGGACCAATTTTGTCTTTATCGAAGAAGAACTGTAAAAAATGGCAAATTGGATGTTCAAACTGTGTGAAACTATAAAAATCAGGAAAAACTAGACAAATTACGGGACTTTGGTGTACACTCGATTAAAATTGAATAGCATGGGTGCTAACCACAGCTGGGTATCATTTGAAATAATTAAAAATGCAATAACCTAAAATTAAGTGTTTTCCAAAAATGGTATGTATGTCTCAGCCATGGTCATTGAACCCAGGACTTGGCACCTCCTACTGTTGCATGAAAATAAATATACAGTATATGAATGAATAGAAATATAGAAAATAGTTATGCAATATATTTTAGGTTATGTTAACGGCTGATGATGAATGCGATAAGAAAACCTATGTGGACTGCTAAAAATGCTGGTCCTTTGTGATATCAAGCGACCCCAACTGAAGATTATAAGGCCCCTGGTTTTCCGAAGTCATGACATCTAAGATCTCAGTTTTGAAAAAGCAAGAACATAGAAAAGAATTTATGTCTTTACCTCACCTTTCAATATAGAAATAAGCACAATTATTGATTCTCTGTCACATGGCGACATAGGCGACATTGTTTGCAGATGGCCACAATCGCTGCTTATGAACATAATGATTAAGCAGCAAATGGCTCAGCAACACGAACAGGTTACCTAACAGAGGTTTTCTTTTCCGTTTTTATGGGTGGTAGCGCTGAGTGGAATACTACTTGAACTCAATGGAGAGGGGGTGAAAGCAGTATATAGTAGAAGTATATGCAGAGTACATAGTGTTGATGATATCAGTGATGTTTTCTTCCACAATCAGTGAGATGTTGGAAACAGTTCTACGAAGGTTACACTTATGGGTCGCGAATAATGGATTAGGTGTAAACCCTAGTAAAACAGAACTGATGCCCTCACTTGATGGTACTGGAATTGCCCTGTTCCCCACAGCTAAATACCTAGTGATTGAAATCGATCTAATAAGTCATGTCCGACTGATGCGCTCAATATGCTCCTGCCTCGACTGCCCATAGACGTCTTTACTCGAAAAGTAGCAGCAGCTTCTGCTATAAGACATAGTGCCATTCTAAACCGGCTAAACTTAAGTAACTCAGACTATATCTTCACAAGGTTAGATTTCAGTAGCCACTTTCTGGTAAGGATACCCTCCAGACGTGAATAGAGAAGAGGTTTAGTAGAGGAGGAGGATACAACCTCTATCTATAGTGACGGGTTCAAAATGGACTGCGGTGGACCGGCGGGTGTATACTCCAATGATCTTGACATCTTACTTTCTATCCGGCTACCAAATTCAGCCAACATCTTCCAAGCGGAAGTACTAGGTGTAGAGAAGACCTGTTGTTTTCTATTGACTAACTACAAGATGGTACAGAAAGCAACCATATACACGGACCAACAATAACAATATCTGCCGCAGCTGCAAGCTTGATGGGAATAAGGAAACCGACTTCCGCCGTAAATGCCCAGCTCTAACACAAACCAGACACAGAATACTTACTATACGGAGTGTGTTCAAAAAAACAACGTGAATTTGCGATTTTGAAAAAAAAAAAACAATTATTTATTCGCCTACATAAAACTACGGCGCTTTAAGGTACTCTTTATTTTTGGAAATAAGAAAAAGTCACACGGAGCCATGTCTGGCGAATATGGAGGCTTGGGCATAGTTACAGTATTATTTTTGGCCAAGAATTCACGAACAAGCAACGAAGTGTGAGCTTTTTACAAACAAAATCGCCAAGCTCCTAAAAACACGTCTAACCTTAGCGGCTGCTACAGACAAAGTAAGCAATGAACACAGCTGAAAATTTTATCATACTACAGGGGCATGTACATATATAAACATTATTAACAATATAAAAATTTTGACAATTGGACTTTCCAAACTCATGAAGTTTTAAATTTTAAAATAGCCGTTATTTTTTGAGTGCACTTCGTAAGTAGTTTTATTGAGAGCATCAAATGGTTTGAGCGTAACGAACGAAACGAGATAACAAGTTTATAAAATTCCTACGAGAGTCTATCACAATGGTGCATCCAGCGCTAATTGAGCCCGGGGTGACATCACTTCTACCTACCTAATTATTCAGCTTTCTCCACACAACGTTTGCCATTTGCGGACGATAAGGGTTTAACCTCACGGCATGTTAGTGTATAGGTACAGTGTCCCTGAAGCACTCGTGAGTTAAATAAACTCAAATATATAATATAAGATATATTCGACTGGATGATCTCTGATTCGTTGAATTCGTCTTTGCCCCTAATAGTGGAATAATTATTAAAGTATTGGAAAATTCACTTAAAATATAAATTATCTAGAAAGGTAGCCAAGTACAAAAAAAAAAATACTGGAATCGAAATACCTATACACAAAAATGAAAGGAGAGAATGTCGACAAATGTCTATTCGTTTGATCTCAATAATTTTTTTGTTGGAAGGTACTAAATCTCGGGTCAGCTGGTATTTATGTAAATATTTCCGGTAGGTGATGTTGTCTCATACTAAAATGTATCTTGAAAAACGGCATAGAAAGACTCTAAAAGAGTATGCGGTTTCGGATGAAACTGATAATAATTGTGAAAAACTACATCAGCAATAAAAGAAAGCTTTAAGTTACATTGGTGCTCCACTAAACAACAATGGATTCTATTTTGAAGAAGAATAAGACTTTTCTAATCGAAGAATAACACTGGTTCAAATACTCTAGATATCTTATTTGACAAGTCTCTGTGGGCGCAAGGGCTTGTAGATGATCAGATAAATTGATCATAGAAATTACACTTAAGCACACTATATGCTTTTTCAAACGGTATAAAAACTACTATTTCCAAATCGAAATCTTATGTTTCTCCTAGGCACTATGTATGTATACTTCCAAAGTATGCACAATAATTAAGGTTATGGATGCCGAACACGCTAAACTCTTTAAATAATTTCAAACCGCTTTTAATTTCGTTAATGTGAGTACTTACCTGTTGGCGATAGCGGCACAGTAGGCGCCGCATGTGGCGGTGGCGCTACCGACGGTGGTTGACCAATGCCGTGTGCCGCTAAACCGGGTATAGGAACATGTGCTTGCATGGGAAGCGGAAGTGTTGTAACGCCGCCTGCCATCACTGGCATCACAGATAGCGTGTGTTGTTGGCGTTGTAAATTTTGTTGTTGTTGTTGTTGCGAAAGATGTGCCGGCGGCGATTCCATGCCCACTTTAACACTATTCAACAAATTATTTTCATGCGCACTGTCTGCAACATTGGACGAGCACATTTGTGAGTGTCGTCAGGTAAATGGGCGACAGCCAATGCACGCACTCACATACGCGCACACAAACAGGAGATCACGCGCGCAAGCGGCGGCAAAGCATAGGTGCGAATTATGCTTCTTATGCGGAGTTTTAAAAGCGGTCTTTAAGTTTTAATTAATTATTTTTTATGAGAGAAGTGTTTGCTTACAAATGCGCTGACAATGTACACCTCGCGCGTTAGAGTTCTGAAGCGCGTAAGGAAATTTTGCTATAACGAATTCTTACTTCTATCACTTCCGGTTCCTGCGTTATTTTACGCGCTTTTGCAACAAACCCGAAAAAATTTCACCCTAACATTCACGTTTTTAGTGGCGCCGTCGGCGGTTCTCTCGTTTTTCGCTTATTTTTCTCATGCACATTCGTTTCCACTTTTGCTTCGGCAGTTATCCGAGTTGTTACGTCGAGGTGTTAACTCGTAGCGCGTCCGTAACGAATACTAATCATGCAGGGACAGGTTCCGCCGCCGCCACTGACCGCCGCTCAGCCAAGCGCCGCAACTCACTCAACGTGCTGAGTTGAGTGCAAATGTATGCAAGTGGCGTTCGCTTGAGTGGAACCTAATTAGCGGCACGGCAGTTGGAAGAAAGTCGGCGCTTGTGCTGGTGTGCGTGTATGTGTTGTTGGTGGCAGAGTCGGGTGGTGGCAGCCACTTGTAAGTGTTTAAAATGTAAATTAGGAAAATCATGTGCTTGCTACTTTTCATTGTGTGTACGTGTGTTGGTATTTACCGTACGGTTGTGTTTTTGTTGTGTTTGGGGTTTAAAACTAACGAACAAGGTGACTTGTTGTAATCCGTTGGGCAAATATATGCGAGCACATATTGACATGGTTACTTGCGCCTGTTTGCGTACGCACACCCTACTGTGGCATTGTGTGGCTAGTTTAGTGGCTTAGATGGAAGAAAGTAGTGTTGGAGTTATGTTTTAAAGTTCGTCGTCGTGAAATTTCGGAATTTCATCAAATTTGTTAATCTCTGAATTCCTTATGGAAAATTGCTCACTTGCCGAAATTTAAAGTTGCGCAACAATTTGTGCTAAGATATGGATCGCCTATGAGTTGTTGGAATCGAAGTACATATATACAGAATTAGGTATCTCAAAATGATCAGAATAAAGAGAGGAGTGGTGCTTTGAAATGTTTGTGTTTCAATCTCTTCGTGTGTCGAGAATTTGATACTCGAAAATTTTAGAAATTGTGTTGGGCGTGAGTTAAATGCTAACGAACGCCTGGGTCATACCATTCCAGAATTAAAACAAATTTTTTGGTGTGAAGAGTGGCGCATTTTTGTACACCAATCAATGGTCTGACTTATTCAGTCGATAAATTAAAGAAAATGCGCTATGAATTATTGCTCCTCCCCCATATATATGAGGCTTTATCCGACTTTCTTCTCTTTCCCAGATCCAAAAAGTGGCTTGCTGTAAAATGAGGAGTTTATTCAAGTGGAGAGGGCATTATGGAAACAGCTTAAAGATTGATAATGCAGACTTCTGTAACTCGCCAATGGATATTTCAGATATAAGCGAGTTATCTTAAATAAACCAATATGCATCTTACTTGACCCAGGTGACAACTCGGTTATCTGTGTAAATGCTGCTGATTCTTGCTATTGTCGTTGTGGCGACAAAAAAAATTCCCTAAATAACATAATTTGGTGAATGCAGTCGAGTGGAAGGTCATTGGTGGTATTTAAGTTCGCGTCCGATCCGCTTACACTGACCCGACTATCATGTGAACGTGGCTGATATTGGTCCACATCTTCGCTTCTTTTATTCATCATTTTTTAAGTTCACCACTCGGCAATACGTTTCGATATCTTATTCCTAAATATAAATTTGTAGAAAAAATTTACTCAAACAACATTTCTTTATATGGAAATCAAAGGAATAAAAATATATATATGTTGAACCGGAAGCCGTGAAATTAATCGCATACGCGGATGATCTTATAGTGGTAGCAGTGGCTAAACATCTTGCTGACCTCCGGAGCAAATGCAATGAATGCGTCAATGGTCTGCGGCAATGGTTCTCCTCGAGAAGTTTCGCACTGGCTGAGCACAAGATAGAAGTCCTAATAGTACTAGGAAAATGGAGGAACGAATATCTCTCACAATAGGGGAGTGTGAAATTCAATCACAGCCAAACTAAAGTATCTGGGAGTAATAATAGACTCAAAGCTTAAATTTAAGGAGCATTTAGAATACACCTCGGGTAAAGCAAGCAAAATCCTCAACGCTTTATCAAGAATGATGACAAATAAAGGCTGCGTGCGTTCCAGTCGGCGATTATGATGCCCCTTACATCCAGGATGACGAATTCGCTCGTGTATACATGTTAATAGAGTCGTCTATAGGAGCCAAAAGAGCAGAGAGAGTCGAAAGCTTATCAATATGGCAGCAGCGGTGGCAAACCTCACTCAAAGGACGGTGGACCCACAGACTTATACCGGATATCCACCAGTGGATAGACAGACAACATGGGGACCGGGATTTCCACCTTACCCAAATACTAAGTGAACATGGGTGCTTTAGAAGCTACCTGTACAGATTCCATCATGATTTTAGTCCGAACTGTCTGATTTGTACAGAGTGCACAGAAGACCCTGAGCATGTAATATTTTATTGCCCTCGCTTTTCGAGTACAAGGAAAAAACTTAAAACTTTACTCGGTGGTAGTTTTATGGTAGAAAACTTGACGACACGCACATCAATGAGAATTGGAAAGCTGTCAGCGAAGCGGCAGCCTCAATAATGTCAAAAGTAAGACAAACGGAACAGATTAGGCGTCCGTCAGTCCGTACCATAGAGGAGACTTAAATGTCTTATCACTCCCACGAAGTAATTACTAACCAGGTGGTTCCGTAGGAGAGTCTAGAGTTGGGAGTACTACTTAAGAAAAAAAAAAACATACATGTTGAAATATTTTAAAAAGCGACATTTTATATTGGCTTTTGAAAGGAAAATTTCCAAGCGACCAATTAATCATCGGATAATTCGTCTTTAACCGCTTCATTTTTAAGCTATTGCATAGCTTCTATCGCGGGCTTTGAACGTGGGGACTGAATCAAGAAGTTCCGTAAAGGAAATAAACCTAACACGATCACAAAGTATGCGCAAAATGTTTGCATACTTTCAGGCGTATTTCAATCAATTGAGACAGCAAGATTCAAAAATAATAATATTTAAGATACAATTTTTTCAATGACAAATAAAAATATAGAATTTAATAAAATTTTAATTAATAAAAAATAAATTATTCAATATTCGGAGTCATAATATTATTAACATTATTATTATTTTAGAAAATAGCTACCCTACCTTTTGGAACAGTATCTCGTTTGGCTTGAGTCCCCGAGTACCACACGTACTTTTTTTAATATCGTTCTTACATACCTTTCGTAAATGATTGTTCTTTGGTACTTACTTTTTGTTGTTCCAGGATAACGGCCTTATAATCCATTCTAAAATCCAATTGGAAAAAAGTTGTAATTTTTTTTCTGACCAACTAATTAGGTCTGTTAGGTTAGACAATTTTGAGCAATTCTATGTTCTACATGGAGTTATCTTTTGTTCAAAGTTCACAATGATCTTCAATGCAGTGTTCTAAAAGGTCTAAAGAGGCATACCTAGACACTAACCCTCTCTTGCTTTTGCGGCGACTATGACCCCCACAACTTGATCTTAATAATATCAGATAAAGAATTATGGAAGAATTTTAAAAATAATAACATATGATAATTAAAATATTTCTGAGAGATCTTTCTTTTGAGTGAGCAATTTAAGATACTAAGTTTGGGACTTTTGGAAGTAGGTATATGTGTCCATACTTCGCCCTGAACTCTAAAGATTTGTATAAGAACTTATAAACAAGATTTGATCCAAGCAAGAGTTGGTTGGAACTGCCATAAACACTTTAGTTCAGACGCATCTGACTAGATAGGTCTACGGTGCGTGCCTTGATTTTTTCTCAGTTTCCTACTTTTCAGTCGTCTAACAAGCTTTGTTTGTGATTGTGCGAAGATGATGTGGTTTAACTTGATAATTATAATATTATTGAGGTCAAACTTTAAGATGAACATTAAGACATCGGGGTCTTCTCGTATTGGGCCGACTCGGTAAGGATAATGATTTTTGAGATTTTTTTCAAATCGTTTTTGTTGCGGTCACACTGCCTTATTAGAATAGTTCCATCCTCCATTTCCAAAGTCAAACAAGTGATGTAATTAATAGTGCCTGTGAATTGAGGTTAGTTACACCTTTAGGCAATAAGTTCACTCATTGCCTAAGTGACATTGCCTGAGTGACATTTGCAGTCGTTGTTATTTCTATGCATCAACACATTTTCGTAATTCTTGACACTGATTATTGCTTCGCTGGATTGCTTGGGAAAACTGCTAATGTAAGCGACTAAATTTGTCTACAATCAATTGTTGCGGAAAGCGTTGAAGCGTAGTCGAACAGTTGAGCGCCATGAAGCTTACGATAGAGAACAGAATGATTTAGAAGAAAAGCTCAAAGAACAAACAAAATTGGGCGAAATAAGAATGCGCGGACCACCCGTCGACAACTAACAAAATTTCTGTATAAGAGAAAAAATAAAAACACTTAGAATTTTTTTTTAGAATTAAATGAGAATACAGTGTCAATGTGATAAAGCTGACAATGAGCGTCTAGGAATAATGGCAAAGGACAGCGCCACTAGCGTTACTATGTATGTACATCAATCATTTTTAGTTACAATACTAATGAATGCCTGCCTTATATTACAGCGATAGGGTTAAGTTAGGCAGTAGTCAGGCAAACGCAAAGCTTAATGTCAGTTTAGTAGACGCAAGCGTTTAGTTTGGTATTAATTTAGATAGCTCGATCTGTGTAGGCACAATGTGGTCATTAACATATTGATGATACCCGCTACAGGTATAGAAGTAGAAGTTATGTATCTAGTAGTTGCGTTAATACATTCAGTCATTCGGGCTCATTAATTTTAATTGCTTGAATTGCATAACCGATATTTGAATTTGAAAACAATGAAAGAAAATCGCAATTAAATTATATGAGAGCGGAAATGAATATTATAGATCTTTCTATATAATGGTTGTTATAGTTTTAGCTCTGTTTTATTATACAAGTATACTTACAACATGTTGCTAGAGATTACAATAGCTTTGTACACCTAACGGTTGTTTGTATCACCTAAAACTAAACGAGATAGATATGGAGTTATATATGTATGTATATATAAATCGAGAATCAATCAAAATGTATCCGGATAAAACTTTGCACGAATAGCGCCTTTGAGGTTTGCCACCTTATGACTACAAATTGTTTGAATCGGATCCAAATTATCAATGCTCCCAGATACCAAGTATGTGGACTTCCTATTGCGAACTTTTCATCGCAAATATCGGTCAATCTGAATGAGC